GTGCACTCAGGCAACAGCAGTGGGACGGGATCGTCTCCTCCCTCACAGGTTCTGCATCTGTCGCAGTCCCAAAACTTGTGGGCGTTTTCATCCTCGCACTTGGCATGGTAGCAGTGTGACGTGTTGAAATGCCAGTTGGACAGGTGCGCGGTCTGAAAAGGCCTGCATCTAGTTGAGTTGGACGCCAATTACGGCACCAAAGCTTCTTCCATTTGCTGCTGAAATTCTATTCCGTGATGGCAACTTGCTAGAGCAGTCTCACAAATCTAAGCAGATGCTTAAGCTTGACAACCGCGGAGTACTTACGTATTTGTAGACGTTAACGAATTTAAAAGGCATATGGCAAACAGAAACCACCCTTGCAGCGTTGTCGCCGCGTTGAGATCCAACTGAACTTGCGACTTCGCAGTACAATGGCACCAGTGTACATCTCCACCAACAGTGATTCTACTTAAACATCCATATAGGGTGGGCAACTGTCAGGGCACGTCCTACATTTTGCGCAAGCTGTCTTCGCAATGTGTGATTTGGAAACGTCCTTGTTGCGCTTTTGACTTCGCCAATTTCGCTGTGGACTTGCAAATTTGTGACACTATTCTTCAAGGAAACCAGCAGCTGTTAGGGTTCTGCTGAATAAACGCTACCGTTTCGGTTCCGTGTGCCATTGGGTAGTCCTTCATGTGGAGGCAGACGGATTTCGGAGAACCAGCAGAAGCCGGCGTCTCCTTCCCAGCAAAATGCCTTCCCCTTCATCTCAGCAGTTCAGTATTCAAGTGCCACATAGTTTATGCTCATGCGTCTCCTCTGTTTGGCTTCTTGTCGTGTTCTCTGAGGTGTGCAGCGTGGCTCGAGACTGGTGCCGCGAATTAGTGCGCCAAAAGCTACACAGTACGCTTAATGCGGTGAAACTGGTCATAAAGAGCAAGCAAGACGAAGGAAAGAGGAGTTTTTTTTTGGAGGCCGCACTGATATGGATCACAGATATGAAAACACGAGGCACATGGCCGTGGCTGCTGGAGAGGATCCGTTACTCGCCAGAGTTCAATGCTCCAGTGTGGTGACTTCAAAATATTCAGCCCTCATAAACGTTTTTTCCGGTATAGTTTTTCAAGGCCAGTTTATAAGGGAAACTGTTCGTTTTTTTTCAGTTGTGCCGATATCTCTGGAATAACTCTCGTGCCTGTCTTCAAGCAGGTTCGTCTCTGGTCGCACACGGACCACAAGGCGGCAGTGAAGAGCTCGCGGTGTTCGTTGTTTCAGCATCCGCTGTTCTTCAAACTTCCCTCTGCACTTGAGCGTTTGCTATTTTTCAACATTATCTGTATCTGTGGGATGCTTCGATTCCTTGTTGGCAGAGATGCCACCGCCAAGCCTCGTGCGTGTTTTGAGTGCCTTGTTGCTACTGATCGCCCCAAGCACTGCCGCACTTGAAACAGACGCCGTAAAGTATACTGCGAGCCTGAGTGAGCGATAAAATGCATAACTACCACGCCCATATTTGCTGAAGCGTGAACTGGAGTGCATGTGTTGATTCCCATCACTAATCGTGGCCACGTCGCCTCAGCGTGTTGCTAATTGATTCAACGGGAGATCGGAGGTACACAATGAAATCAAGTTCACTGCGTGCAGGTGGGAGCCCTGAGTGCCTAGACAAGGTTAATGCTGCCCGCGAAGCAGCTGGCTTTTCCAGCTTCACACAGGCCACGAATGGCAGCAACTTACAGGCTCCACAAGGAGATATTAGTGATGGCGAGTGGAAAAAAATGTGTGATTATTTAATACCAGTAAGTTTCCAAGTAAAACCTTCATTACTCTTGGAAGAAGGATGCCCTTTCGCAGGAGTGTGTATGCATGTGTGTTTGTGTGTGTGTATGTATGTGTATGCGGTCTCCTTCTGCCCCCTTCCTGCAGGCGCAAGAACAAACCTATAGCACTGCATCTTTCGAAGATGGAACATATGCGTTCAAGTCCCTGACTTCCGAGAAACCGGAATGCGAGAGTATAGTCAACTACTGGAAGACAGCATTCAAAAACTTCACGGGGCTCCCACCCTCACAGAATCAAGCCGCAGACCTGTACAGCAATCAACACAACATTTCCTTCGTCGCCCTGTATAACCCTTCAGCCAATGCCACGGCGGATTGCCGTGTCGCCACTTGCACGAAGTCGGCAAGTCCCGGCCCAACGTTTTTCAGTGATAGTGCGAGCGACGCTGCAGAGAAGGGCTATGCGCTGATTTGCAAGACGATGCCTACTGCTTTTAAAAGCAAAGATACTGCTCCTTTCACGTAAGGAAATATTCGATTCCTCCCTGTCAATATCGCTGCTGTGACGGTTGTTGATTGCATGGAACACACTGGATCTACTGCTAATGTTACGCAGGCAGGACCAGTGGAATATGATCACCGCGTCTCTCACAGGCTCTACAATAGCCGCAGCCCCACGCTTCTTCCTTTTGGTCATTTCAGCGCTTGGCATGATGATACTGTGACGTTTCGGCCCATCGGCTATACGGCGAGGCGCTCACTGGCTTTTGCTTGCACCTAGGTGTGTGCTTAGGACGGCGCTTTTATGTTAGTATACGGGACAAAAAAATGCTCTCGCCTTTTTTTCAAGCACCAACTAGTGGGCAATTTTTTGGGACCTTCCACAACACTGGTTTGTAACTTTTACAAGCTTTCAGCATCCGCCAGGAATGCAACAGAGAACCGTCACAAGGCTCACTATTAGCAGTCCGTATCAAGTTACTCCGAATGTAGAGGCATAACAAGGAAGCAGATTCATATACCACCGCACACCTTCGCACAATAGACACAACCTGCTGCATTTTTGTGATGAGGGCTTCCAGAAAACGTGCAGTGTTCTGGTGCCGTGAATTATCTAAAAATCCACACTTATTCTGTTCCCAGCACAAAGTACGTGTTTCTTTACACATAAATAGACTATAGGTGCGTCTGTGCCTAGGCAGAATGCTGTGTGGAGTTGCTAAGCTGGTCAGAACCTGACAGAAGGCGCAGCCTCGTTCTCGCTGTTTCTGTGTTTTGTTATCAGTGCTCTGCTAGACGTGTTGTCACTGCGACATCTCTGTGAACAAGCGACTAGAGCACTTCTGTCTGCGCTTCCGCGCTAGAACCCGCTGGATGCCAAGGTTACCACTAGTCTCCACTGCTTCCTGCGAAATCCTGCTTTTTCGCTCCTCCCAGAATTTGCGTTGAAAGATGCAGGTGCTGGAGCAGCAAATTTCATTTTTGATCCTAGCAGAAATCGGACCTTATGGCGCAGTTGAGTAGGTGAGTCTAGTGCGCGCTCATGCTTCATCTGGTGGCGCGGTGTCTGGAGTATTTGCCCTTCACATCCTCTTAATCTTTCCATTAGACAGAAATTGCTGAAATACTAAAGTTCCATTGTTTTCTGGCCATTGTGAATTCGTTTGTGTAGACCGTCTGCAGAGACTGTGGAAAGGTTCGCGTCACGTGCTCAGCGATCCACTGCAACTCTATGTTGGCGGAAGTGTGTTGGCTCAGCATTTCTTCCATCACCTGGTTCTCATTTTGCATCAACATAACTAAACCTTGTGTGCGCTACAATTGCCTGTTTATTATTGTAGCTTTTAGAGATCAGTAAGGCAAAGATGACGCGCTTCGATTTGTTCTCTGGCGTGATCGGTCCGCTGCTGTTGCTGAGTGCCGCAAGCGTGAGCACAGGAGAACCGGCAGATCAGCAGACAATCAACTATGCTGTCAAACTTGGTAAGAAGAGGCGCTGGCGTTGGTGTAGCTAACAGTTTCTAGAATTTCTTGATTCGAGCTCGTTCGTGCGTGGTTTCTCTGGGAATTAACAAAGAATAGGGGGTTACACCACGGTGTGGCTCGTGCAGCTGGAAGCACTGCTGGAAAAGCCTGAAAAATGTTTGGTATGCCCGAATTCTGTTGCGGTAGGCGAAAATGCTCAGTGCCTTGACGAGGTCAACGCTGCTCGGGAGGCTGCTGGACTTTCCAAATTTACAGGAGCAACAGACGCTGAAAAAAAACTGCCGACACCCAATTCAGAACTTGAAGACGACTGGAAAAAACTCTGCGAATATTTAATACCGGTAGGCTCGAGTCGGAAGTCATTAGTCCTTCATACCAACCTAACCACGGCATGCGTCTGTCTTGAGCATGCTGTTGGACCTGTCTCGCTTCCTTGCATGCTTTTCCAGACTACAGAGGACAACGGAGAGGCGAAAGTTACCGGAAGTCCCTTTAAGAGTGGCACATACGCTGTACAAGTGTTGACTTCAGAAACGCCGCAGTGCAGCGAAACAGTGGACTCTTGGAAGAAAGCATACAAAAATTTCTCCGGGCTCCCGCCGTCAAAGAGCCAAGACCCTGAGCTCTACAAAAAACAGGACAATATTTCGTTCGTGGCCCTGTATAACCCCTCAACAGAAGGCACTGCAGACTGCCGGGTCGCTACTTGCACGAAAACGGTAAGCGCTGGCGTAGGAGTGCTAAACGGTGGTGAGACAAGTCAGCCTACGGAGAGAGGCCAAGCGTTGATTTGCATGACTACTCCTGATGTCTTTCAAGATGCATCATCGGCCCCATTCACGTAAGCAACGCAACGGTCCGTGGGCAACGGAGTGTCTCCCCACCACAAGGGAGTGCGAAACCCTCTTGATGGTATGCGTGTTTTGGCGGATGTTGCTCAGGCAAGAGCAGTGGGATAAGATCATTACCTCTCTCACCGGCTCCGCCTCTGCTGCAGTTCCACGCCTAACTGCTTTTGCTATTGTGTTGCTCAGCACGTTGCTGGTGCTGTGACGGTGACAGCTGTCAGTGGCACACACAAAACGCTGCTCATCTGCACCCGCTTGAAATTTTTCACTATCATTGAACTGACATACCTACAGTATGACAAACAATGCCTTTGCGTGTACTTGAACAGACAGAGCAAAGCAGCATTTGCTTGCTGAAAAGCAAACTATTCCTATATGTCAACTAGTCAGGAAAACTGGTATTACACGCCAGCACCATCCAAAGTTAATCTGGAAAATCGTGCTTTGCAGCTACTGGTGTCATTTGAAACGCACCATTCAAGCCTTCACGTCGAGGGTGACGTCGTTTTGGTGCGGTTCGCGTATGGTTGCCGCTACATATAAAGCAAGGCAGTGTGAAAGCTGCAGAGAAAGCAAGTAGCGTCCTCATCGATGCTCTAAGCGCAACTAAATGTGATAGATGACTAAGTGCAACAAAGGCTGGTTTACTCCATCGTTTCAAAGAGGCAGCGCACTCATAGGCCCACCGAGTGTACACACATGTGATTGTTGACTACCTGCAGTGGACGCTGGTTTCCACCGTTTTTGAGAGATTTCATGGGACCGCCAGAACGATGGTTATCTACACCTAAGTTGTTTCGCACCTCTTAGTAGACGATTTTCCTTTCATCGGAGTTGAAACTTCACAACTGGCCAGCCACAATGCCTCCCAATAGGTCGCGGTCGTCTGTTGCCAGTGCATCGTTGCGGTTGCTGAGCATTGGCTATAGCCCCAGATCGGCTCGCCTTCGCTTCTTGTGGTGTTCGGTTAACATGCTCAGATGTTTCTTGGCAGAGCCAACCTCCTACAAGTTGATCGGCCCTTTTCTTCGCTTACGTATCTGCTAGTGTTGGCCGCCCTCAGCGAAGGTGGCACAAAAAATGCTGGAGTACCTACCAAATAAAGCACTGCATATCACACCAAGGTAGACTGCACCCACTCTACTGCCCACTTTCTCATGTACACGCCTTCTAATACAAGGTGAGTGGGGGTCTCAAACTCTACAACCACGCTCCGTGATTTTCCTTTTCTGTTCTCTGGCAAATGGAACTTCTGGAAAGCAATGCATTGGTATTCAATGCTCCAAAACTCTGTGGCTGCCACAAAAAACGTTGACTCCCTCCAAGGTTTCATCGGTGGTTGCCGCTTGTACCAAATACACACAGACACCGATAAAAGCCATTAACGGCAAATCCCGAAGTGATGGAGGCAACCAAGATCAAGAAAGGTGTAAAGCATTCACTAGCAGTAAATCGCTTGTGAGGAGGTAGCGCCTTCGATAATCTTTAGGGCATCCGTGGAACCCTGCGTTGCCTTCTTCCCCTCACAGACAACCTAACAAAGTTTCTGGTGGTTCATTTGAGAGTGATACTGAAAGCCCCAACATCACAGAGGCCAGGATACAACGAAACCCTGGAAGAACAGGAAGAACCCTGGAAGAAACAGGACAGCGGAAAAGGCATAAACTTCGGTGGACTCCCGCACTAAATAATTTCGTCCAGAAATATACTTGGCAGTCATGTCAGCTGCTCATTCAAAGCCCTGCATGACCTTTAATTCGAGACCACTGCAGCTCGGTATCTGCGGTACGACGTTGGACTCTAGTGTGCCGCGGCTTGCAAAACAGGAAAGTCCAGCATACGGGGAGCGCATTTATGGCTTATTGCTGTATGGAATTATCTATTACATCATAATAAGCTTTCCAGCTTGATTTTTTTCGATACCATTTGACTGAGTTCCGTTGCAAATGCGCTGTTGGCGTTAAAGTGGTCTATGTTGCTGTAAATGCAACAATGGAAGAATACAGACCTGCCTTTAGTAGCTCTCAGTCGTTTCTTCGGACGTTATCTACCTTCCTAGCAGTTTAAGGCTGGTTGTTGTGATGATGTATAGCCTCGCTTGCCACCATCCGCGCAAGTTTGTGCATTTGTGTTATGAACTTCCGAGCTATTGAGCAGACTCTCACCGATTATAGCACACCTACAGTTGACACAGCTCTCCTTAATCCCCGCTTGTAGCCTTCACCATGACGCTAAGGTTCGTTGTCCCTTAAACAATCCAAGCTGACACGGCAGGCTCTGTTCCTCAGAAAAAGAGTTGTCATGTCCTACGTGTCCCGCCGCGACCGCTTTAAGCATGTGAAGTCAAGAAGATCGTCTCCAGAGGGCTTTGTTACGTTGTGTGTGTGTGTGTGGTGTGCTGCAACACCAAGTTGAGAAAATACACGCCCAGAGAATACGCTAATTTACATTGCTCAGGTCATCATTTCTTCTCATGCTTGACTGGGTGGAAGTTCACCTTAGAGAAAGAGCCACTGTTCTGCGGTCAGTAAACGAGCAGCTCTATCGAAAATAAAAGCAGGGCATTTCAATAAAAAGCGAGAGCTCTAAAGCTCCACTGTTCCAGCAAGCGCTCAATATCCGAAAGATTACCCGCTGACGTGCAGTAGCTGCTGTGCTGGTTTTCCGAAACCCAGCTTAATATGATTGAAGCACAAGGATGCGCACAGGAGGAGATATCAAGAAAGGCAAAAGAATTAGCAGCGCACTTGCTCATTCCTAATGTATTGAAACTTCAGCGACCTCCATAGCCACTTTTCCCCACAGCCAAGAATGGTCCATGGACCCCAGCAGCTGCAGATTCAAAGGCTGCATTGCTCCCAAACTAAAACAGATTAACAAGCAGCAAAATTTTTACACCAAAGGATTGGCTTCACACGTAGCCGTTTGGACACCCTTGAGGACGTGTGAAGAAAACTGGCCAAGCGTACCTGGAGCAGCCTGATCATTGACCGTCTAGTAGCTGTTACTCCTGTTACGTACCGGCCAATGTGATGTGCATCCTAGGTTACCTTGCTCCGAACTAAAACAATCATGTCACGCCGTACCTATATATATGAATCAAAAACTAGTGTGTGCCTCAATTGGCACTGGTGCGTAGGCGGGCCAACCCCAAAGGTGCATCTGAAGCATAGCGTGGATGCTTCCTCAAAATCATGTTGACAACGGCGGGTCAGGCGATTTCCTTACACATTATCACTGTCGAGAGTGTGTTTGCGATCACGCTGATGACCCTGTGGCATTTCCCCGATCAACTCTGTGCAAGGGCAACTAGAAGCCGACAGATCTACAAATACTTTCGCTCCGCAGTGCGTTTGTGCCTCTTTCAGCAATATTTTACTCATCTCACAGTTTAGTTTGGTGTTCATTCCTATTCATTATAGTGCCTCTTACAAATGGTTCTGAGCTTCGAATTACACAAAAAATTGTGTACACACAAAGGCGCATGTATTATGCTGCCCACTAACTCCGACGCTTTTGATTCAAAAGCGTTCATTCCGAAGGCGTGCATGAATGCTTCCTTGCTAATGCCATGACTGTGGAGATACAGTTTCTTCACTTCGACGCTCTCATCTAGTCATACGCACCACCACTGTTCACTCATTATAACAAATAACAAGCAGTTTGCAATTCCGTGGCGCCGTGGATGCCCACTGCTTGCTCATCAGAAGACATCGCCATTCTTGTTCGAGAGCTCCTTCCACCACTGAGTAGAGCATAAAGCATTCACGCAGGAAGTCATACGAGTGTAATTATAGACCATTTTGTAGTTAACACAATTTCGTGTCACGATCGTATGATGGTAGCAAGTGCGGGAGGTACGTACCTTACGGAAGAGGCTGTAGTTCTTCGTCTTCGCTAGGCCTTACACAGTAGGCCACATAACCTGTGTGCCCCTTCATCGGCATTTGATAATGGTAACTGCTGATATGTAGCGTATTCTTGCGGCGTACGTCTACAGCGGCTGCCTCAGTCTCTTGAAGTAGGCTCGAACCGGGACTGCTAACCGGTTGGGAAGATGGCGGTTGCAAGAAGTGAGAAAGGAGGTCTCGGAATGGTGTGGGCTGCTGCACCTGGCCGCCCTGTGCTCCCTGCTCACTTTTTTTTTCTGCCTTTAAATGATAGAATGCATCTCCTTCCTCTATGTCATCTTGGTGTTTTCGTTGGTCTGGTGTTGGACGGGATATGCAGGCCCCCCAGGGCTTGGCGAGAATCTCAAAGGCCTGGAAATCTGCCCGCAATCCAAGGGAGAAAAGAAGAAATGAAATATTGTTCTCCATCTGGCTATTAAAAACCACTGCCTCTGCAGGAGCAGCGGCACTGCTCTTCCATTTCGCCGCAAAGCCTGTCTGTACGCGAAGGTAAGTGGCACTCGAAGCTCCGAAGATTCTCGTAATACTCATGTGAATATGTGCAGCAATCCCCTCGCGTGCCCGCATACACTAATGAAATGGAACGAGAGCCTTCCACAGCTCCTCTAGTGTTCTTACCACGCTTCGCCGTTCAACTAACGTAGACTGTTGCTTACTTACTACATTGATCCTCAAACACTTCATATGCATGTGAAGTACTTACCCTGGAAGCCATGTTCCTGTGCCGCTGCAAGGGTCTTGTGTAATTGTTCAACACAAGGTGAAAATGTCACCAGGCGTCCTCCACCCTAAATGACAGCGCCAAAGAGAAACAAATCAGAACCAACTGTGATTCAGTCCCTCCGCACTACTGTCTGCAAGACTTTCAGCGCCGCCTGCTGACTAACGATCCCCTGCGAACTGTAGCCAATCTAACCTTGAGGACAACACTGGCGTGCTTTATGGCGAGCCAAGGAGAAGGCAAATCAAGGAATACTCCATCAGCTGAATGTGGCATTGGTAAACATTCCTCACACTGCTGTTGGGCTGCTCCTGCTACTGGCGCTGTAGGAGCTGGTGCTGTATTTGCCTCCACATTCTGGCAGAATCCATCCGCACATACGTCTCGGTGTATGGCCTCGACATGTGTCGAGATCCCAAGAAGGTCGAACTCAACCCTGACGAAAAATGGTTACGACTCACATAAGAAAAGTTAAATATTGGCATGCATAAATACGCGCGCCATGCAAACATGAGTGTTCGACGGTTTATCATGTGTTCTTCGAGTCATGGATGCAAAAGTGCCTTCGCAAACATCGTTAGTCAGGAACACCTATGAATTGCGTGTAACTCCTGAGTATACGATTTGTGTCCGATGCACAACTAAACACTTGAGGAACTCGGAAGCTTTTTCAATTACCTGGCTTCTTGCCACCGTTGCTTGTGAAATTCAAAGGTGAACAGGCGGCCTCCGGGACGCAACGACGCAGCCAGCGAAAATGTGAGAGACCCAGAGCCAGTCCCTAACAAGAAAAAAGGGGCATATCCAAGTTCAAGCATGAACAAATGAACAAGTGTGTGCATAACCTCTGCAGTCAAGCCGTCACTCAGGTGAACACCGGCAAAAAGGAACATTTATTACCGCCCCAACAGCCTTCCATGGAGCCAATGTCCACAGAGCTAGAATGGCAGTATAAACTGGAATTAACTAGCCGCTTCAAATATGGATTACCTGCTTCAATTATGGTCTTGCCGGGACACACATCCAAGAGGCTCATGATCAGCGATATATCAGCATGGTACTGCAGGCAGACCGCAGTATTCAGTTCGTGCATTATCTTGGGTAGGCGGAATTCAAACAATGTAATGATTCATCATTTGTGCTCGGCTCACAATGATTTGTGTTCTGTGCCGAAGGGCCAGAGTATGTAAATCCGGGGTGGGGCGGAGTACTACGAGCCACTTCCCGCTGCGCCGGTCTTGAACCTGAGAAGCTCAACAAAGCGGGCGCGCAGCTTCTCTACTAACTACGGAAAAGCCACGTGCAAAATCGGAAATATACGTTAGCTCAACAGTCCCAGAGGGAACGCCACTGCACGACTGAAAGCGCTATAGATCAGGCAAGGCTGAGTAGGTTGGGGCAGCATGGCCGATGAGTAGATACGCGAGTCGTGCTGGACACACCGGTCGCGCTGGCCAACAAAAAACAAGAATAACTAGCCGCGCAGGCTGGATTTCTCACCTTCCGCCCTATTGGTGTCCTCATGATATCTGCATGTTCGAAGTTGCCGAGCCTGGTTCGGCAGACTCCACCCTTCTTTAAAACGCAGGGAACGATGATATCTCGTGAGCCATAAAGGAGCACCAAATCGCCTTCTATTGGGAAGTTTGAAGGGTACATGCCTTGCTCTCTTGTCAAGTATTCCGGCCGCTCGGGTCCACTTTCCTCCACGATGCACGGGCCAGCGACGCCTCCAGTGGCTCTCCTCGCCATGTTGAGCAGAACTATGGAGCCCCAAGCCTCTCACCAGCCCTACGTCGGCAATCGTGATCAGTAACAAGTTAACGTACAGGTAGAAAAGTGCTTCGTCGGCTTTTTGTGCGATGACCCTCACGAATATTGAGCTTTCAGGTGCAGCTGGGAAGGTGGGCCCCTCTCCAGTAGGAAAGTCTGCTTCGTCGACGTAATCACGGAGGCAACGCACCTACACAAAGTGTGCTGAGCGTTCAAGATAATTCGTTCCACGAATCTTCTTCATACTAAGTTCTTCTTCAAGCCGTTGTGCCTCCACGTACCCCACAAGAAATTGGGTCCCCTCAGTAATGACAAATGGATATCAGACTGGCTGGCAAGCATGGCCCCTAACAGCATTGATGCAGATGAGTAGCGATCAGACCAAGACAGTAAATCTACATTGAATGTGTCTTCATATTGCAATTTACACAGCTCTTTGCGTACACTTTTGAGCAAGTGAAGATGGCTGCCCGCTTAATCACTCTCAAACACCGTACACAGTTCGATCCAGCCCCGACACCGTACCTGTTCGTTGTCAGCTCAAGGCCAAGGCAAGCTCATAACCAAAGGGGATGTTAAATATGCATACGCACCAATGCTTCATCTTCTTACATTCCTTGGCAAAAACCAGGCCACTGAAACGTCCGCTACTCATTCAGTGTCTCCATGGCGTAGGGAGCATATCTGTTGAGATATTCCACAGGGAATTTATGGGGTTTGATGATTTTATCATCCCATCCTAAGTCCGTTTTGTGACAAAAATGCCTCTTCAGCCTATGGTGCCCGAATTTAGTGGGAGCTTTTGAGGTGTTGCGTTTGCACGTTCACATCTGTTAAGATATTCCACAGGGAATTTATGGGGTTTGATGATTTTATCATCCCATCCTAAGTCCGTTTTGTGACAAAAATGCCTCTTCAGCCTATGGTGCCCGAATTTAGTGGGAGCTTTTGAGGTGTTGCGTTTGCACGTTCCCTGCAAACCGTGTTCTCACAGTTCAAATTCACAGGAGTTGCAAGGGCGGACTTGATCCAACTTTGCGGAAGAGTCAATACCAGTTCACTGATTTTTTTTCATGGGAAGAGTTGCATTTTCACACGCATTGCTCTTATAGTTCAGAACTTCAGTGACTATTTGGGCCTGAGATAGAGGAGGCGTGAGCGTGCGCCAATCTAAAGCATGCTAAGCTACGATTTTTGTTAGCCATCACAAAAGAGACGACTATTCGTCCAATTGTTGCCAATCTTTTAACCTGAAGGCCAGCCCCACATTCATTGCGTTGACCAAAAAGCTTACGAATGGCGTCAATGCTATTTCCTGTCTTCTACAAGGGGCTGATCTCCTACTTAGTCCTGTAGCCGCTTTATTAACAAAGAAGTCTGATCAAGTTTGCTTGAACAGTGCAGACAGGAGGTCTTTAGGAAATGAGGGCTCCAGAAGTCGAATGTGATGCCGTAGGGGAGCTTCAGATACAGATCTGGGAAGCCAGTTGGGATCACGTTATCTTGCTGCTTTACAAAAACGACGTTGTAGATGCATCTTTCCTTCGGACCCAAAATTAGCAGCAAGCGGAGCTGAGGACAGTCGTTTTGCGAGAAGCGGCGTTTGAGAAATCCGAGCTGGATGCAACTAACCGTAAGTCACAGCTGCTTCATGAAGAGACGGGAAGGAACAAACTAGTTTATCATCAGAAGTAAGAACATACTGAAAAATTTGAAAACTTGACAAAAAGCCTAAATGAATCATCTGAGTTCCTCTTCAAGAGTTGAAGAGCTTTTGTACAATATTATTTATCCATGTTTTGTCAACTATTTCTTGCGCAAAGCTTTGAGGGTCATTCAAATAACATGACTGCTATAACTCGCGTTTTCGTTCAGTGCCTCACCCCGAACTACCTGAGCTGACAGCGTAGTGAAGGAAATGCTTAGCCTGATAGGAGACTAGGCAACCACCGGGAAACACTGTCGCCTTGACGAAAAAGTACTTCCACATTTCGTCGCTTGTGCATCGTCTTGCAATAATCGCTGGCAGCTGCTCACAGCGTTGAGTTTCTTCGAGGTTTATCTACAGCCTTCCATGAATTGCGGTTGCAAACAGCAATTCGAAAGGACACTCGGCCGCGCACTGCGCAGCAAACCCTTAAGAGGCCGACAGCACCCAAGCTCCTCCCTGAGAGCAAAGGCTTGCTCTCAGCTGTAGCAGATGCACCATGCTAATTGATTTAATGTTGTTTCTTAGATAGCAGCTCCCTGCATTATTTTCTTCGGCTTCAATCCGCTGCAGGACCTACGAAATTGGGACAAGAATTTAGCGTCTCTCAAGAGTTCAGAGCTTAGTGCGCTCAGGGGGTCCCACAAATTGCCGAAAAATCTATTCACGTCTATCCACAGTGCAGTATTGGGCGAGCACCTACGTATACTCCACTTAAATGGCGCACGTATTTAAATGGCGCACGTATTTGCTTAAGTCGCATTGGGATTGTCTTTCAAGTTGCCTAAGCATCGAGCTGGAGAACAGCACAAGTAGCATCTCAAATCGAAGTGCGATGCGGGTGTAAAAGGAAAGTCTCCAAACTTCTATATTTGCCACCACAGTCTATCTAAAGCACGACATGTTTTGCAGCTGCAACTTGAGATTACTTGCGTGCTTCCAGTAGAGAAAAGGATGACACAACTCCTTCCGTCGTCACGTCATCCGGTCTAGAGTTTTCGCACTAATAATCCATGGGCACAAGTGCCAGAGAGAGAACCAACCAAGGTAACACCCCCAGATTATAAAGCGCCAATGATCGCGGCATTGAGCATTGGCTGCGCCTTCGCTCCACAAATCCTCAATCTTCATACGGCACTGCGCGCACCACTCCTCCACCACTTCTCAAGATCTTTTGGCTTGACCTACACCAAGCTACAACTGCATATACAAAAGTGAAAGACGTCTTTTCTGCATCCTGGACGTTCCCTATGTAGGGCTAAGGAAGGAGTCGAACGCTGACTGCACGGCAGGATAGCTTCGTCAGAGCTACAGTGCTTCGCCGTATATAAGACGCAATGCAGACCTTCTTCCAGTGTCCTGACGTTTGCGCCATGGGAAATGAAGGCGCGACTGGGCAGCAATTACTTAAAGAGCAGCTTGTCAGTATTCAACTGCACCAGCCGAATCCCCGCTTGCCCGTCTGATGACGTCAACAGTTTTGGCAATCAGCGGAGCTTCCTCAGAGCTTCTTCACGTGCCCCGTAGCTTCGAACGACGCCTCAAACTCTTAATGCCTGCTCGTCTCAAGAAGGGCAGGAGAAGCGTGAAGACAGTTCAGTTGCTCCGAGGGCCGTGAGCTCCTGACC